AAGTAAAATACTTGCACCCTGCGCCTCAGATACACGCCGTTAGGGGAGAATATGGGGCACCTTAAGTTTTTACCCGCTTCCCAGGTGACCGTGATGGGCAGCAGCCTGGAATCTCAGCACAGGCTCCCCTTCCTGCCAGGAGCCTTCCCTGGTCACCCTCGTCAGGCTTCTCAGTCTCCCCTGAATTCTTGCAGCCATCGACAAGGAGAGAATCACACACGCGCATGCGCACACACATCACACACACACACACACACACACACCACGCACACCACACACCACACCCATGCACATACCACACCACACCCACGCACACCACACACACAACACACACCACCACACACCCACACCACACCCACGCACACCACACACACCACACACACACCACACATGCATACCACACCCACCACACCCACACCCACCACACCACACACATACACACACACCACACACACCACACCAATGCACACCACACCCACGTACACCACACACACACCACACATAAACATACACAGCACACACATACACACCACACACACACGCACACGCTGCCTTCGGCACCTGGGCTGTGGAGACTGGCCGGCAGGGCTCACCTATGCAGCTCTTGCAGGCACAGGTACCTAACCCAGCACTGCGGCCCCTCGTCCCCCTTAGAGTTGCCTTCTCCAGACCCCTACCCTGGGCCCTTGACTCGAAGTCACCAACTTAGGGTGTGGAGGGCCAGGTGGTGGGTGATGTAAACATGTAACCAGCTGGGCGTAACAGGGAGTCGTGGGGACTGTGGTGAACTGACTGGGCCAGCACTGTGAACGTTCAGAGTCACAGTTGTCAGTTACTGCTAGCCAAACAAAACACTTGTGGGCCAGATAAGCCTGTGGAGGATCTGTCCACATCTCCTGTGTCTAGATTCTCACTGAGTGATCTTATCCACTCCCAGCTTTCATGCAAATGCTGATGGCTTCAACTTAGCATCCCCAGACCAGACCAAGTCCCTGGCTTCAGGCCTGTGTCCCCAGCTGCCTGCTGGCCGCCTTCATACGCACCTGGTCCAGCTCACCACGGCCTGAACAGAATTGCTCATCTTATCCTCTGGGGTGTTGATGCTTTTAGTTTCAAGGAACAGATTCTTTCCAGTTACGTTAAGGAAAAGAGATTTGTCGCAGGGCTTTGCGTGGACTGAACGGAAGCCCTGGACACTGTTACCACCCCAGGCACTGGCCCCTCTCACAGCCACGCCTCCGAGCTGGGCTCCCCCTCCTGGCATCTCTGCGACTCTCTCTGTATTTGTACTAGCAGCTCACTGTCTTCCCAGCCTCTCTGGGTCTTCAGCCCAAGCCTAGGCGATAGCCATTAGCTCTATGATTACTAGAGCTAATTACCACTGATGTCAGGCTGCTTACGGGTCCCTCGTGGTGGGTCAGGCTCCCCCTCCACACACACACAACAGCTGCCTGGAGCTGCTTCCCTAAGTGGGGCCATGTCTACTCAGGAGAAGTAGGAACTGCCAGGTGCTCTGGTGACGCCTCGGGGCCAGCCCTGGCCCCACCTTTCCTCCTTGTTCTCCACCACGATGATGGCAGCTCCAGTTGTCCCTGCTGGAGATCTGAGTGTCACCCTGGCTTCACTCAGCACCCTGGAAGAGCCCAGACCCTCCTAGTGTCCTCTCTCAACTCCTTTAGGGACCTTTCTGTTCCTCCCCCACTCCACCCCCGATTCAGCTACCACCACCTGTGGCTTCCTGTCCTTCCTTTGCCTGGTACAGCTGCTAACTTGTCTTCCTGCCTCAAATCTGCCCTCCAGACAGCTGCAAAGCCATCTCCCATGTACCTCCTCTGTCTGTACCTTTGAGGGGCTTCCTGTTACTTGAAGTCGAGGCCAAAGCATAAGGTTCAGTTCTCAAGCCTCCTTCTCTCCAGTGGGTAAGCGGGATGGTCAAGAACATAGGCCACAGACAAGTGGGGCCGGAGTCCTGACTTTGTTGCATGTTAGTTTCTTTGCCTTGAACATGAGAATCGTACAAGGGACTGTGTACAGGGGTATAGATTAGGGAACCGCAAAGGACAGCATGTGACCCCAAGCTTTATAGGAACTGGGCCCTAAACATGCCTAGACCCAAGGGGATGAGGTGACGCGGGGAGTGGGTATCAGAACCTGAGGGAGAGGCTGGTTGGGTCCACCCCCGGACGAGCAGCAGCCCTCAGTCAAGGGCTGAAGCCAGCCTGAGTGCTCAGCAAGAGGGCCCAGGGCAGCTCCTCCCCAACCCCGACTCCTGCCTTCCTTTACCATCTCCGCTGGGGGCCCTGCTGGCTGACCTCTACCTGATGTTGGGGTTCTACTCTTATCCAGCTGTCCGTACAGGTCAGCCTTCCAGCAACAGAGCAGAGTAGACAGTGGCTCTGAAGGACAAACGGGGTGTCAGGGACTCCTCCCTGGGGGAATGAATTTTCAGTGAGATAATGCAGCCAAGCTCTTAGTGGAGTTCTCAACCCAAAATAAGTGCTCAGTCAAGGCTAAACTAGAATCTAGTCCTTTGCTTAAGTATGCCACAAGTACGTAAGATGGCAAACTAAATAGCAAAGGAGAGGCTGGAAGGTGTGAGTGCCCTCCCTGGGCGACTGTCCTGATGCCAAGGGTGGAGGTGATGGACAAGGCCGCGAAGGTGTGTTGTCTGTAGTGGGCATGGCCAGTGGTCATTGGGTCAGCAAGTTTCAGTGTTACTCTAAACTATAAACTTTAGGTGTAGAAGAATTAGGAATGCCTTTACTGTCTTTAAGTACCCATGGAGATAATTTGTAGGTTATTTAAGTGGTTTTATATGTAAAATAATCATGCAGAGATTAAACCTGCAAATAGGCAGGTCCGGGACCACAGATGTCAGTGGTCTGCATGTGGAGATCAACAGCCCAAACTGTCATTTCTCCTGTTTGGACGGCCACACAAACCTCCTATGGAAATGGCCCGCCAGGGAGCGCCGGGAAATGCCTACATCTGAGGTCGATTTCACTGCTTCTCTTCGCTCTTCTCTCCTTTTACAATCCTTCCTTTAAAATCCTCTTTCTTAATTTTAATTTATTTAGTCTCCAAGCTAGATCTATTTCCTTTTCTTCCGTCCTCAGTACAGCCGCATAAACAGAGTATCATGTCACCCCTCCCTCCAAGAAAAGAGCTAAAACCAGGAGAAATTGCGATATACATTAAAAAAATTGGCACAAGAAGAATAAATCTTTCTTAGAATTTTCTTAAAGATTTTTTTCCTTGAAAAGAAAGCCAAACTGTAAAGTAAAACATTCTCCGTTGTTAATAAACAAAAACCTCACAAATCGAAAACTTAGTTATTTTCCAAGATGAACTAACATTTTGCTCTGTCTGCTTTTCCTAATATGCACATTTCTTTTAGCCCAAATCCTCGTTATGGGAAACATTCGCATCTCCATCTCCCGGCTCCAGGGCTTCCTGAGCAGAGAAATATGTGCTTGGTGGTTTCAGAAGCACTGGCTCTTATTCATTTCGCCAAAAGCAGCAAATCTTTAAAAATGAAATTTTCCAGGCACTTGGCTTCTAAATCAGCCTTGTGGGAATAGATGATTTAGAATCTTATCAGACCACAGGTCTCACAGCCTTTGAAAATGTCATCCGCCGGTCCCCTATGCAGCCTGGCTGGTGATACTGCCTGTCGTGCGGGAGCGGCCGAGGAATGACTGTACCGAGGCTGATTAAAATCTTTATTAAACTTATTTGCCGACAGACCTCATCTCTCGCTAGCCTGGAGTCTGTTGATTACTGTTAATTTGTTCTCATTAAGCTGGTCTCTAGGCTGTAGCTGTGTTTTAAAAAAAGTTTGGTTATGTGGGAAGGTTCATGGCTCGTGTGAGGACAGAACTCCCACTGTGGCTGCCACCCTCTGGGTCGTCTTGGGTGAGTTCTGTGCCATCCAGCTTTACACCTGGAATCCAGCCCTACCTTCTGCTCTGTCACTCACAGCCACAGCCTCAATCTCACCTCTTCCTGCTGTCCAGCCCCAACTTGGACCTGTCCCTGCCCCACGTGGGCCTCAAGCATGTCTGACATCTTTCCCTGGGTCTTGGCCAGCCACATGAATTGGGACAGGGAGTCATAAAGCCACAGCACCTTAAAGCTGGAGGGAATATTGAGAATTTTCTAGTTTGTCCTTTTCATGTTCAGATAAGGAAATTTGGGTCAAGAAAATGCGTCAATGTCCTACTAATGGTGAAGGTCACATTGGAGGTGAACTGGAGTGAGAATCCATGATTTTACAGAACAAATTGTGTTTGGGATATTTAATAAAAATTTTCGCTTCTATGATATTTGCCAGATGACTGTTGGTATCTCTGGAACTATATGTTACTTTCACCAACACCCCAATTTAAAACTCAACTTTGGGAAGGTTCAGAGGAAAACAGCGATCGTATTCAATTTGGGCCAACTTCTGCTTTTACCGACTGCAGTCACTGGGCAAGCCGTGACCGTCTGGGCATGGTAGGGTGCTGACGTGGCAACCTGGTACTCAAGATTATAGGATTTCTTTTCTTCTTATGATGATTTGTTAAACCAAATGAATCCGGAAGGACCATAAAATGCATATTAAACATAAATTTTGGTGTTTTTTCCTACGAACCCATCATCTACTAGAGACAGTATTACAGATAATAAGATCAATAGCAGTCGTACACTGAGGGCTGTCGGGCTTTTAGGGTGTGTGGGACTCTGTGTTAAATAATGTAAAAAGAGTCCAGGTGGACCTAAATATATGTATTTACCTTGGATTAGCACCTGAGTTAGCCTTCGGGGGATTTATTAAGTCACAGATTTCTTCTGTGCCGCCTGTGCCCTGAGAACATGCGACTCCTGCGCTGACTTTGTGTTTGCAGCAGTGCAGCGCGGGCGTCTGCTGCAGCGAGCGCGCTCTCCCTCGCAGGCAAGGTGTCCGGCACCATTCTGAGGGGCAGCATTTCAGATCCTCACTCCATCTTGTCTTGCAGGCTCTGTGGCTACCCTCCTTTTTATGATGAAAATGACTCCAAGCTCTTCGAACAAATCCTCAAGGCCGAATATGAGTTCGACTCCCCCTACTGGGATGACATCTCCGACTCTGGTGGGTATCCTGCTCCCTGTGGGTGGCCTTGGGACTTCACACCCAGACCACCCGACCCTGACGGGCCCCGGGGACTCAGGATGTCCCTGGGTCTCCCTCGGAAGCTTCATCCTTGGACTTGACTTGCAAAGCAGAAGACGGGCTGGGACACTGGGCCTGAGCCGGGCCATGGGACAGGGGCTCACTCCTTCACAACCCTTACCCTCGCCCTGCTCTGCATGGTGCAGGGGAAAACCACGTCACCTACCATTCACTGGCTGCTTGCTGTGTGCTGAGCACTATGAGCTCTACACATATGCTACCTGGCTTCGTCTTCAGGTCAACCTATCAAATGGGATAACTATTATCCCCATTTGACAGATGAGGAAACCGAGGCCCCAGAAGGTGAAATAACTTGACTGAAGTCACACAGTAAATAGCAGAGCTGGGATTTCAACCCATGTCCCAGCTACCATGCCACACTGAAATATTCCCAGGGAAGTTCACCATTTTATTTCTCAGAGATAAAGATCAAAATTAAGTCCCACGTAAACTGACAAAATTTCTCAAGCCTGTTTCCTCACCGATACAATGAGGGTGGAAGTGATCCTCCCCACCATGGAGGGTGGTTCAAGGATCAAAGGAAATGATAACTGGAACAGAGCTTGTACTCACCGATGAGCTGTTCAGAGACTGCGTTCTGTTGTCTGTGTTATCCCCTCCTGACTAGGAACATCACTTCATTCTTCCTGTCTTCCAAACCCTGGGTTCCAGAGTAGAGTTCTCCAAGGCTTGCGCAGAGAACCTTACAGCGAGTATTTCACTTCCTAGTCGAGAAGAGCTCAGCCTTCCCCCGGGCCTGGGGCAGTGAGCTGTCAGACCCTAGGAGGCTGCAGATTTTTGGCCTGGTGCATGGGTGTCATCTTCTGATTCTGTGACCATCCCCCGTGTTCTCTGTGTCCTGCTACTGGGTCATACCCCGTCTTGGGCCTCCGAGCACTCTTTGCTTCCCACAAGGGCACACCTCACTGTGTCGCCTATGCCAGGACCTGGCCAGCTTAGTAGGTGCTCAGGGGGTTTTGTTGAATCAATGACATCTAAAACATGGAGAGGACTTCGACGAAAAAGCTTGCTATGATAGCAGCGAGCTGAATGAAAGACTCACGATGGCAAAGAGATTTCATCTCTGAACCAAAGGTATCACTGGCTGCCAGAGAGAAGGAACTTGGAGCTGGGAAAGTAGGGTTTCAGGCCCGGCTTGTCTCTCTCTTTGTTGGCAGGTCACCACGGAGAGTCCCAAACCTTGGCTTTCCTTTTCCCCAAATGCTGGTGCTTCATGTTCAGTATACTGTAGGGTATGTGGAGGGCCGGTCCCGTAGTTTTCATGTGACACACAACACTCTGAGACACCCTGTCATCATGGCATCGTGTCTCAAGCCACAGACTGATTCCTTCTCCTGTGCTTCTTTTTGAACAGCAAAAGATTTCATTCGGAATCTGATGGAGAAGGATCCGAATAAAAGATACACGTGTGAGCAGGCAGCTCGGCACCCATGGTAAGGAAGATCGCGCCCTAGACGTGTGTCTACCGTCTTCCCAGGGTCGGCTTCCCGCTGGCTGTCGCTAACCGTGAAGGCCTCGGGTAGTGGCCGCTCCTCCCTCCAGCCAGTGGGAGGAGGGAGTCCTTTCCCCAAGCCAGCACTTGAAATCTCTTGTTCCCTCGGGATGCAGTCTTCTAAATGCACTAATGACAAGTTAAGCATGCTAAAGATAGCTGTAGCTTTCTCACTTCACGTGAAATTTTTTTAAGATCATTTTTATTGAAGTTAATTGCCCAACAAGGCATAAAGATGGGAGTTTTATTCCTTGAGTTTATTACTCAGTAGTTAAATGAATTGAAGATATAT